GGGTGGTATTTTACTCCCATCTGACCTTTTGTGTTTTATAAAGGTCCAGAACCTTTTCATACAGTTTGGTCTTTCTTGAGGTTTAATTAGGTCTGGTGGTGAAACTATACTGTCGATGTAATTCCAGTAAGCTTTCCTAATTTCTCTCTGTGTACGACGCTTAAGTTCTTTAAATTTGTCTCTATCTCCTCCATTACCAGATTTTTCATTCTTTTGAACAATCTGTCTCTTTTTCGTATGAGACGCTTGATGTCAGATGTGATCCAGGGACTACCATCCTTTTACCTAGCGGTCTTTTTCGGTACATTGTTTTCTATGCTCTCTTCAAGTTTAGTTTGGAAGTGTGTCCATAATGTATTTACTCCTGCCTTTTGTTCATTCATTAGGGTGATATCATGGTGTAAATTATTCACATCTAGTTTCATATTCTCCCAATTTGCTTTTCTATATAACGGTATAATACTTGGTTTTTTAATAGATTTCCGGGGATTTAGATTAACTTCTGTGAAAACGATTTCATGGTCGGAGGCATGGTCGGAGAGCCCTGGTAAGGTTTCAACTCTCATGAAACTTTCAGGATGATTTGTTACAACAAGATCAAGAGTATTGGGTCCTCTGGCAGGTTTATTTACAAGTTGTGCCATCCCATTATCATCCAATATATCAGCAAATTTTTCATGATTTGTTGCACATTGGGTGTGCATCTTGATCTCTTTGTTAGTCCAATCCCAGACTGGTAGGTTGAAATCACCAGCTGATATAATGAATGTATTTCGTATTTTACTGGCTCTTTAAATGTTTATTCCATATTCATTATATCCCTTTTCGTTTGATGTTTTGGGGTTGTAGTAACTAGATAGATAGACAGTTTTATGCCCGACAATTTCCATCTTGCACCAAACAATTTCACAATCAGTTTGAAGTTCTGGTACTGATGAAGTGATGCATGTGTCTTTGACGGCAATGAGTACTCCCCCTCCACTTAAGTTTCTGTCATTTCTGTTAATATTGTACCCATCTGGAAAATATTGCGAGTCTTTTATTGATGAATCAAGCCAGGTTTCAGTTCCAAAAATTATATCTGGCTTTGTGCTTTCAATAAGATTTATAAGTTCGCCTTGTTTATTTCTTATTGACTGGAAGTTAACATTTAATACTCGAATAGTCGTAGGATTTGAATCTTCTTGCTCCTTTTTCTTTTGTGTTTTCCGTTCTGGTGTTGAAGTATGTAATGGTTTTATGATGCTAGATGTTGGACCGCTGATGGATATATTTGATAGTATGCTGAATTGATTTGAAGTGCTGAATACCAAAGAATAGCAGAAGGTGGAGTAATTTGGACAATTACACATAATGCAATCCCATGCACTTGCAAGTATCTTGGGTTTTCAGGAAACAAGATGCGATCATATTAATTCAAGTTGTGTTAACTTATAGTAGTCTCAGCTTCAATTATAATTTCATCTATAGTCGTAGTCCAAATAATTATGACGTCTTGCAAGGCTATTTTATTTTTTTTTCTGTGACGTCTTCCTAGGACTACTCTAGTCGTAGACGTCCAGCTAGAGGGGTCATTAAACAAACTATAGTGCACTGAAACCCTTGCCCATAACTAAACCGTGATGCTTGGTGTTTGCTTCCTTGCACACACGCAACCATATTACTCACCTTGTTTGTTTTCTATTCTTCTAATCAGCTGTTTATCGGCAATTGTCTGTTTTGTTTACATCAGAAATCAATGAAGCGGTGAAAGCGCGGGAATCGAAAGGACATATTCGTATCAATACGGTAAATTCCGTGATTTGAATATTTTCTAATCAATATGTTCAAGCAATGAAAAATATGAGGATAATATTTTTATTCATAGAGCACACGTTTTGTGTATTTACTATTTGAAATTATAGTTTATGAAGAAATATAGCAAAATATGTTTAAATACGCACTATAAAGTGAAGATTAGATGTATTATTGTTTTGTTTTTGAAAGAACATTAATAATCCATAAATACACACCTTTGTACCAAAATTGCAACAAAATTTCAAGATAACATATATTTCATCATCACAGAATGATATTATTTGCTCAAATTGACAGGGCTTCGTGAACTAAATTTGGCTTAAATTATGATAGCAATTGAACACTTCATTACAGTTTCTACCGATGACCTACTATCATGATTTTTATCCGACCCCACTTACGGACGCGTTGACATATAATGCATACAACTCAATAATAGCCAATCAGACGTTAAGATATCCTTCACTTCCCCCAGAAGCAGCCCGGAAACAGCTTAGATGCAGCCATTTAATGTTATTTATAACCAATGAGATACCGTTAACAGATTTACCACATTCCAGACGTCCAGCCTTTGACTAATAAGACCATGGTGATACGGTAATAAATTATTTGGAAAACATAAAGTGCCTGGAATGGTGTAATTTTTAATCAACATCATTGTCCTAAATTAGTTATATATATATAAAATTGATTTCTTTGATTCGTCGTTTTACGTCATGCCGGCTAACACATTGGACCTCGTTATTTTAGTTGTATCGATGTAGAAAACTATATTATCTTTAACATATCTGTGATAATAAAAAAAAAACCTCAACATTCCCCATTTTCTTGAACAAATGTTTAACTTAATCTATCAGTAAAATCAGAAGTCCATTACTATACTAGAGCTAGTAATGGACTTCTGGTATAGTGAACTAATGAATATATAAATAAGAAGATGTGGTATGAGTGCCAATGAGACAACTATCCATACAAGTCACAATGTGTAAAAAGTAAACAATTATAGGTAAAAGTACGGCCTTCAACACGGAGCCTTGGCTCACACCAAACAGCAAGCTATAAAGGGCCCCAAAAAGACTAGTGTTAAACAATTCAAACAGGAAAACCAACGGTCTAATCTGTATAAAAACGAGAAACGAGAAACACTTATGAACCACACCAACAAACGACAACCACTGAACAACAACATATATTAAAAAAACATGGAAAGCATGTTTCTTTATTTATTTATTTGAAATAATCAATACAAGTATTCAGAATTCTTGGCGCTTAATGTGTTTTCTTGTCGCTACATTAATCTGTTTGTCGCTAAATGTGCCCTCCTATTTTAATATCATATATTTTTTTAAATTATTCATAACAAACTTTCAGTGGGTCCAACAGTGATCACAAGTCCTTTTGCTTTCTTTTCATACCACAATTTCCCAAATAGTTTACTTATTGAAACTGGAAAGTGACCATTATATATCCAAAAAGACAGTCGCGAATTTAACACTGTAACTAGATCTTTGAATGTTGTTTTATGGGTAGGCCTATAAGTATTGATTTTGTTATCAATATATTAAAACACAGCTAAATATTATTGCTATACAGCTATGGATATATACGGTTCTTTATTTTGTCGATTCCTGTGTTTTGGCATTGTACAAGATCATGACTTCTTTACACTACTTGTAAATCCATTGGTTGTGTACTAATTGATATTTAAGTCTAAGATACATGATTTTTTATTAGTTATTGTTGGATTTAAGCTACGTTCCAGTAACTGCGAGTACCCTTAAATTGGTACTTTGTGTCTTTAGAGTTTTTGTTAGTTGTTTTTGTGCGTGTTTCGATCTTTTGAGTTAAGCCCTTTTCAACAGATTTTCATAATTTGTTCTTATGTTGTGCTGTTACACCAATGTCACAGGAATAAGCTTTTATTTCAGTGGACTGTGGTTGAAATTTGTTGCTGTTTATCATATTTTTTTCCCGTTTTTTGTTATGTACATAAATCAGACTGTTAGTTTTTTCGTTTAAATTGTGTTACGTTTGTTATATCGTTTTTTTATAGATTGCTATGCGGTATGGTTTTTTCATTGTTGAAGGCCGTACGGTGATCTTCCTTTTTCATATAACTTGTAAAAATTAAATTAACAAAAATACCGAAACAACTGTCATATTCCTGACTTGGTACAGGGATTTCCTTATATAACAAAATGGTAGATTAAACCTATAAACAACTTATATTGTAGCTCTAGTTATGACACGTATTACGTAAAGGTCTGTCTTACAGGATGAACAAAGGATTTGTTAGGTTTACTTCAAAGGTCCTGATGACTTTTATTTTTTTTCATTTCTTCGTAGTTTGGGTGTTTGTTGTACAAATAAAACCAACAGCAGCGTTTAAGCGTTGTCTTCTGGTGGGCTTGGTGATTAATATTCCATATGAAACAAAACCAATCCATAGGTCCGTCCTATTAAATAGATGGACAAGTATTTTTATTGTTATGGATACAAACATTTCAGCTTCATTGCGAATATTAGATCACTTGCACCTATGTCAAAATATAGGTCCACGCGAACAGTCATTTTAGCACAGTCGCTACATTTGGTGTTATTTGTTTAACAAACACCTTAACTATGAAGCATACTTTCCATTTTGCATCTAATGTTTACAGTTTCTGTTAACGAGACACATGTTTATTTACTTTTGACTTTAATTATTTATCCCTTGTAATTTTTTATTAACTGTGTATTTGCATTCAGGTGTCACAGGTCAAATTTATTCGTTCATTGTGTGTTAATTTACGTTTTTTGATTGAGTTAAGCCTTCCAATTGATATTTCATAGTGTGTTTTTCTATGTTGTGATGTTATACTATTGTTTCAGAAAAGGGAGAAGGTTTGGTACCATTTAAACGTTTAATCCCGCTGCAAAAGTTTATGTAGTTCATACGTGTTTCTCATTTCTCGTTTTTATATAGATTAGACCGTTGGTTTTTCGTTTGAATAGTTTTACACTAGTAATTTTTGGGGGCCCTTTATAGCTTGCTGTTCGGTGTGAGCCAATGCTCCGTGTTGAAGGCCGTACCTTGACCTATAATGGTTTACTTTTATATATTGTAACTTGGATGGAGAGTTGTATCAGTGGCACTCATACCACATCTTCCTATATCTATCTATAGAATATATATATCATGTTTTTAATTTCAGGTAAAAGTACTCTAGATAATGACAATGTTTGAGTTTCATAGTTTTATGGTGAGTATTTTATAAATTTTAAGTAGAAAACGTGGAACACATTAAATGAGTAAGCAGAACTTGTTTAGATGCGCAAGGTTGTAAAGAGATTTGGCGCACGTATAACGCGTGTTCATTTTTTGTTTTAAATGTAAAAGAGCACCATGGGCATTCTGGGACATTTCTAATTGATTTTTAAGAATTTCCAAATTATTGAAATGAACAGCGCGTCTCTCCTTTACGTAACAAACGCAGACTACTATGTTCACCCTCGCTTGAATCATGTTGATCGATCACTTATTACCGTACGTGACCTGTTACCGTCTCTTGGCATTTACGCATGACCCCTTGCTGCGTATATACTACATGCTACTGTAGTGTTTATTTATTTTTTAGTTTAAGACTCGTTTCCCTTATTTACGCTGTATGTTTTAGAATAACACTATGTGTCATTCACATTCGGATTGGCTATTTGGATAATTAGTTAGTTGATATTATCACAACGGTGGTAACTGGTCCCACAACTATCAGGTCAAAATTAGTATACTAGGGAACCGCTTTTGCTAGTAATTGGTGCAAAGTTTAGGTTTATATATTGCTGTTCATCCAATATGGTAACAGAAAACACCCTATCGATATTTTGGATAAGAATATAAGAGCAAGTCTTTGAAGTTCTCAAATGAACTGGTATTCGACCAGTACAAATGTTTTTACTTTTCCTGTGGATCAATCCGTCAATATTCAGTTTGAAAATGACTCGATGTTCCTCCAACAAAACTGACCATAAACGGTTTATCTTCTTTCTTTGCATGCCCTTTTTAATATGTTGCACTCTCAAACATTTAATTTCTACTTCAGGAAACACTTGATATGCTCAATATAATATGCATCATATGTGCTTCACCCAATGAAGTATCAACTCGGGATTTTCGTAAGCGTGTCTAATATTTCATACAAATTCGTGAATTGAATTAAATAAAATATCAAAAATCGTAAAATCATATGCGAAAACACCCTTGATGCAGTATTCCCCGTGCTTCAGGTTTATGCTCCAATAATATACAGTGTGTGTCCGAGCGAGAACTTCTCTATGTTCATTACTCTAGGAATATTTATCTTAAACTCATATTTCACTGTTCATCCCCATTCTTCTATTTAGTCCGACGTCAGGCGCTACCCTGATATACCCTGTCTTTTGTTTTTGTGCTCTGTTTTTGGTGTTAACGTATTTGGTCGGGTACTTGATGACGGATAGCGTTTGACGTCTTTAGCCGAACAGTTTTATCTTTTTACTTGATTCAATTCGTGTGTATTGGTTCATATTCTGGACGCCAATCTTTGCTCCTTTCCATTGGAAATACGGATAATAAAAAAATGAAACTTAGAAATGGAAAAATACTTAATACCAAGCTCGTTTAAAGGGTATCTACACATCTCAATCTTCAAAATCGCTTATCTAAAAGTACTACAATCGCAAACATTTTTAATAATAAAAATCGTTACCCCTCTATCGATAAGTGTCATGCCAAAAAATGACTTACATGTCCTCGTCTTTCCACCAATAATACGGTAAGATACACGTTTAATGGTCGCACAATTTCCTTAAATTTTGAAACTGATATAAATTGAAAAACTAACAGTATTATCTATGTACTTACATGAACAAACCGGGATGCGGTATTCAGAACGTAGGTGAAACCGGACGCTATTTATCTAAACGCTCTTTTATCGTTTTAGAAGACCACATAAATTTAAAAGTATCATTTATCAACACCATAAGAAGCACATTCATCCTATTCAATATTTAACAGTTCAACCTTTAGAAATAGTAAATAAGCAGCCTGGGGAATCTCATTCAAAATTTGTACGATCACGGAAAATAATTGAATTGAATTGGATTAAAAAATTACAGACAGTGTATCCTCTCGGTCTTAATGATAATATCATGGGAATTGGTAATGTATCAAGAACCGATTCTGGTAACACTTTGGATATAGTTTCTAAAACTGTTTGTAAAAACCGTTCCACGGGCGTAGAATAAATCGCAATCAGAGAAAATTTCGTACCAACAATACAAATATTTCGGACCTAATTACTATTTCAAAAAACAACGGCAGACATCATCTGTTAACCAAGCTCTGTTCTTTACCTGTTAATAAATTACATCAAATTTAAGAGAATTGCAACATAATTCAATATTGCAGTCCTAAGTATGAAATCGTCCAAATTATAATTAAGTCTCCCAAACGAAGTTTGGGAAGACTTATTGGTATTGCTCAGTTCTTCTTCTTCTTCTTCTTCTTCTTCTTCTTCTTCTTCTTCTTCTTCCGCCGCTTTTAAATTTGAACTTGTCCGCACCCGTTCTCCAAAACCGCTTGTCAGATTAACTTAGGGTTTCACAATATGCTAGACTAACATGTCTAGTGGTGCAATCGGGGTTTTGTTTGTGCATTGGGGTTTATAAAGGGGTACTTTGAGGGGCAAAAAGAAAGGAGGGTTTTACTATAGAACCCTATGGGATTTTATTTTTTTAAATTTTCAAATGATTATAAATTGAAAACCGTTTGTGATAGACACAATCTTTTTAATTGAAAATGTTCTAAATATAAAGCACATTAAATGAAATACAGGGTTAGTCCCCAGGGGTCACCCTACCCCCTGCCATTTAAGAAAGTTCTAATATCTTTTAAATGGTCGAGATCCCCACCCCTAAACCATATATATTCTGGTTTGTCACGCTAAGATGGTTTGAATGATATACAGGGTTAGTCCCGAGGGGTCATCCCGACCCCCTGCCATTTGAAAAAGTTCTAATATCTTGTAAATGGTCAAGATCCCCACCCCTAAACCATATATATTCTGGTTTGTCATGGAAGATGGTTTGAATGATATACAGGGTTAGTCCCCAGGGGTCACCCCCACCCCCTGCTATTTAAGAAAGTTCTTATATCTTGTAAGTGGTCAAGATCCCCACCCCTTAACCATATATATTCTGGTTTGTCATTCCAAGATGGTATGAATGATATACAGGGTTAGTCCCCAGGGGTCACCCCCACCCCCTGCCATTTGAGAAAGTTCTAATATCTTGTAAATGGTTGAGATCCCCACCCCTAAACCATATATATTCCTGTTCATCATGTCTCGAACATTTGAATGACGTATATGGTCAGTCCCCAGGGGTTCCCCACCCCCAATGTTCTAATGTCTTGTAAATGGTTGAGATCCCCACCCCTTAACCATATATATTCCTGCTCGTCGTGTCTCGAACATTTGAATGATGTATAGGGTCAGTCCCCAAGGGTTCCCCCCACCCCCAATGTTCTAGTATCTTGTAAATGGTCGAGATCCCCACCCCTAAACCATATATATTCTGGTTTGTCATGCCAAGATGATTTGAATGATCTACAGGGTTAGTCCCCAGGCATCACTAATGCATATACTTTACTGGACCAAACCAATTTCCACTGGACTTTGTCCAATGTCAGGCGACACTGGGAATTACGAATTATGGGAGCTTCGTTTGGGAGACTTCGTAACAGCATCCTGTTACAATCATTTCTTGTTGCATATTGTTATTCTAAACTTTTTCTCAAAATTGATCACCCTGAAGATCATGAAAACGTTTCATTGAAATCAAATATGTCAATAAAGGTTTTGATTTTGTAAATATTGCGGGTATTTTTAATGATCATTCCGTCAAAGAACAAATTCCTGGCTATTTTGATAGTACTGAGCTCCCTCTAATTTGTTATGTTTACAAAAAATCTACCCAGACATATGTGTTTAATTATAGCGAAGTGTGTAAAGATGTTAATATCAGTGACAATACACCTACGTCATGAAATTGCCGTAATTCCAAATACATTTATAGCCCCAGTTCCCATGTTATAACAGAAGACCATAATATCGTCCATGACCAAGAGTTGAAATCATTCCTCCGTAAAGGACCTAAATATCGTCCCTCGTCAATTATTAATTGTAATGAGTGTCGTAACATCATCAACGACTCACTCCGTACTTACTGTACGAAATGGATATAACGAGAAAAAGCTGACAAAATTTTTTTTCTAATCCTTAGATTCTTTTTTTAATTCAGTAATGAACATAGTGGATATTCGTATTAAACATTTTAAAGAACATTTTAATCCTAACAACCATACTAACCCTATTTCTCGTACCAAACTTTCCAACTGACTCCATTTTCGGAAAATGACACCTGTAACAAACATAAACTTTTAGCTACCTCTTTACAAGCAGAACCGAATAACATGAAAGTTCCAACTATGTACTGGCTTCCGAAGCTGCACAAAACACCTTACAAATATAGATTTATTTCGTCTGCAAAACATTATTCCACTACTAAACTGTCTATTCTACTTACTAGTACACTTGGTACAATAAAAAACCTGGTTATTAGATGTTCAAATATCAAATGTTGAAAATAGTGGAATTAATTTCTTTTGGAGTGTTAAATATTCGTTGGAAGTACTTGATAAATTACATGCTCATATTGGTGATTTCGAATCTGTTCAAAGTTTTGATTTTTCTACCCTATATACCACTTTGCCTCATAATCTCAATAGGAAAAAATTCACACACCTAAGTAAATAGGCATTTAAAAAGTCAGAATGCGAATATTTATGATCAAACTCTTTTAGGTCATATTTTAGTAACAACAAACATAAGAACTATGTCAATTGGACCTGCTTTGATACGATAACTGCACTTGAATTTTTACTAGACATTTTTGTTCACTATGGCGATTTCGTCAAGTTATCGGAATTCCAATGGGGACTTACTGTGCACCACATAACACTTTTAGATATTTGGATGATATATGGGCTCTCAATAATGACGACTTCAGTATGTACACTAAAGAGATTTATCCTGCTGAACTGACTTTAAATAAAGATAATACTAACAATGAACACTGCCCTACATCATTAACGGGAAGCTTAATACCAAAATTTACGATAATAGAAATGATTTTTCATTTCCTATTGCTTATTATCCATTTTTAGATGGTGACGTTCCCTTGTCACCATCTTATGGTGTTTATATATCTCAACTTGTTATATGTAACAACATATTTGATTTTAAAGAAAAAAATCTCTGCATTACTGAAAAATTATTACACCAGGGTTTTCGATATCACAAACTTGTCAAAACATTTACTAAATTTTATCATCGGTACAAGGACATCATTCGTAAATATAAATCAACGTGCAGACATCTTATACGTTGAGGTATTTCACATCCAATCTTTTATGGTATTTCTATACAAAGCACACAAATGTCGTCATTCACCTCAAAAGCTAACCAAACCTTTAAACAGACTCATTCAGAAGGGATATAGTTACGATACTGTTGTCAGGTCGTTAAATATTGCATTTTTTAGAATTAATATTGATTCACTCATAGGGTCTTTGCATCGGAAATAAACACATTTATTCTAAAACAAGTTGTTGGCATGATACGGGTTATGTTCTTCTCGTATATTTTATGTCGGTATGATACTTAACTCCTAACGGGAGGAATTGTGCTTGATTTTCATATGATGAAGACACAATCTTTCAATCAGTTTAATTGAGGTCTGGATCTGGCATGTCAGTAACTGTTAGTAGTCCTTTGTTAATTGATGTATCATTGTCATTTTGCTTAGTTTTTTCTGTTACCTATTCTAATATCGGACTCGGACTTCTTTTAAACTGAGTTTTCCTGTTCGTATTGCTATGTGTTTGTTTCATCTACATTGGCTAGAGGTATAGGGGAGGGTTGAGATCTCACAAGACACGTTTTTGGGGAAATTAAAAAAGTTCAAATGTGACGTCACTTTTTTTGCCTTTATCTCTTTGGCTAACTCGGCTGTGAATTTTTATGTGCTGGTTTATGTTGTTTTATATATCCGTTTTTATTCTGTAGTTAGTCACCACTTCGGTGTTATCATGTATATATATTATATTACATAGTTCTCCTCTTATATTTGATGTGTTTCCATCAGTTTTAGTTTGTAACCCGGATTTGTTTTTTTTTCCAATCGATTAATGAATTTCGAACAGCGGTATACTACTGTTGCCTTTATATAGTCATTTTTATAAATGTACTGTTTGCAAAATTATGAATTATTCTGAATACTAAGGATTTTCTAATCCCAGACATATAACCTTAGCCGTATTTGGCACAATTTTATGGAACTTTCGGTCCTCAATGCTCTTCAACTTTGTACTTGTTTTGGCTTTCGTACTTATTTGATCTGAGCGTTACTGGTTAGTCTTGTCCGGACGAAACGCGCGTCTTGCGTATTAAATTTTAAACCTGTTACCTTTTGTTAGCTATTATTCGTATGTTTCTTTGTCCTATATGTTCTCCCATTTATTTGTATTGTAGTCCTGTCATGTAATGTTGTCATTTTAATGTTATATTTAACATTGTCATAAAAGCGGGAAGTTTGGCTAGCCACAAAACCAGGTGCAACCCACCATTTTTTTCTTAAAATGTCCTGTACCAAGTCAGAAAAATGGCCATTGTTATATTATAGTTCGTTTCTGTGTGTGTTACATTTTAATGTTGTGTTTCTGTTGTGTCGTAATTCTCCTCTTATATTTGATGTGTTTCCCTGAGTTTAAGTTTGTAACCCGGATTTGTTTTTTTCTCAATCGATTTATGAATTTCGAACAGCGGTATACTACTGTTGCCTTTATTTAACTCCGCCGCATTTATGCGCCTGTCCCGAGTCAGGAGCCTCTGTCCTTTGTTAGTTTTGTAGTATTTTTTTTAAATTTTGGTCCATTTATATGTTTCGGAGTTAAGTGTGACGTCCATTTTCGCTGAACTAGTACACATTTTGTTTAGCGGCCAGCTGAAGCCCGCCTCTGGTTGTGGGATTTTCTCGCTATGTTTAAGACCCTTTGGTGGCAATGGGCTTTTGTTTGTCCTTTGGTCGGTTGTCTCTTTGACACATTCTCATTTTATTATCCACTTTGTCACTGCTTTTGGTTCAGATAAATTCCGAAAAAAACATATGGACTATAAGGCCTAAGATGGGCCTAAAAATGTTTACAGATAAACATACCTTTGTAACGATCAAAACAAATAATAAACCCGAGAACTGTATAGCAAAATGTTTCTGTAATTCGTTAAAAACTTGTAGAACTTTTACATCACATCAGTATGATTTAAAATTGTTTCTTGTAATGAAATTTCAAAAACACGCTTTCAGAAACATTTAATCTTCAAAGACAAAATACAGGTTAAGCAGGTAACAAGCATATCATTACCAAATCTGATTTAACAGATACCAGGTTTATAAATGTGTACGCCATACGTGCGTTTCTTCTACAAAAGACTCAACAGTGACACTCGAATCAAAAACGTTAACAGGCCAAAATCAAGTAAGTAGAGCACTAAAAATAGTACTTACATTACATGTAGAACATACCAAACTTAAATTGGTAAAGGAGAACCAATCGGAAAACGACTAGATGCCAATACACACGAGAGTACCAAAAGCAATAATAATGGAATATAGAAAACAAGACGTTTAACAGAAGAGGGAAATAAGCAAACGCACTACCTCTTGAATAATGATATAAATATTAAAAACGACAATAAAGCAATAAAAAGTGATATAATTTTATCTGAAATTGTTTGTGTATCCTAGTTCCATAAGTTGCATTAAGTGTGAAATGACTGTTGCCGATAGTTAGATTAATTCAGCTAGGTCATAATTGGTAAACGATTGTTAAGTGGATTCTCTGTTGATTAAATACAAAAATATTAAGAACCTAAGGTGCTAACTACCTCAGGAAAATTTACATAGATAGATTGGCTCCTGTTAAACGTTTAAACTCGCTGCATTTGTTTACACCTGTCCTAAGTCAGAAACCTGTTGTTCAGTGTATGTTGTTTATTGATGTAGTTCATAAGTGTTTCTTGTTTCTCATGTTTTATATAGATTAGACCGTTGGTTTTCCTGTTTGAATTGTTTTACACTAGTCATTTTGGGGCCTTTAATAACTTGCGGTTCGGTGTGAGCCAAGGCTCCGTGATGAAGGTCGTACTTTGACTATAATTGTTTACTTTTTACACATTGTAACTTGGATGGAGAGTTGTCTCATTGGCACTCATACCATATCTTTTTATTTCTATTGGCTATTCGTTCTGGTCATAGTGCTCCTCAATTTTTCAAGTATGTATAAACCCTTGGCTTTCACTTTGTAGATCTGAACGTTTGAGATGAAGGTCTATCCAGAAAAGCGCTTTAGACGCACCGAATTAAAAAAAGTGACAGCATTTTCAATAACTGATAGAATTGACCAATTCAAAATATCGTTCGAGAAAGTCAGGGTATGAATCAAAATCTATTTAACTGTTTGCAGTTTCCGTTATTTTCTTTATTGATATTTTATTTGAATAGATAAAAAGTGGGAAATACAATTTTTATACTGAATGCAACGCATCAAATTCGAACCTTATTTTATTACCACTTCCTCCTTTTTCAGTCTCGAAATTAAAATTAGTCGCATAGGCATCAGAAAGCAAAGCACACACATCCAAATGTAATCAAACTGTACATGACAGAAATACAAAAGGAATTGCACAACTGCATCAATTTCGATAATTTACGTTAGAGGGTTAGTTATGGTTGAACTTTGCCATTAAAAGTGAAATTGTCAATTGCCTTAAAAACAAATATAGAATTTATGAACGTTAGGATCTCAAAAGAAAAGTTCGTAAAATTGCCAGTAGTATCTTATTTGTATTTTATAAGAAATCGTCAATAGTTTAACAACGTTTGGTCCGACTACTAGAACAAAAAAGATCTGGTTTTATCAATAGTTAATAAATAGAAAATATGGTCTGCCAAGTGTTGTGCGTCTTCTTGCACATATTATATTGTAGTAAAGTACATCATTTGTACAAGAGAGGCGGAAATTAATGGACAGAATAAATAATCTATGATAATCATATTGTGGTTAAACGAAAAATATTCGAATGGGATCAAATTTAGACTTTGATCTACCAAAATTCACACTAACTCATAAACTTGATAGAGAAAAAAAAACATTCTTTTAAATTTTTCACAATATCATAGGTATCATTAATGCTGCAATCAACCTACTTCCCGATACTTCGCTTTTAATATAATTCGCATAAAATTATCTTGTTTATACAAAGTCATTAAGTTGATAATTTATTTACTCTTTTATATTGTAGATTTGTCTATACGTATCTACGACTCATTCCTATCGTATACAATGTCCAGATATATCACAGAGATCATTAAGGGCATCAGGATATTGCACGAGCAGTTTTAAATCGAACTACACTTGTCTTTATGATACAAATAATTTTTCGTTTTTAGAACAGTGTATCGAGGATCCAGATTATGTTAAACCTGGTAAGACTTCCTTGAATTTAAGAATTTTGCAGATCCCTTTTATACTTTTATAGGGGCATTAGCTGTCAAAATCATGTTCACCGATTTGAGTCAAATTCTCAAATTCGACTTATAACATACTAAAACGAATATCCAAATTATAAAAAAGTCTGAAATAAACAATTGGTTCGATAACATGTATCAGCATTTCGTGTTTATTTTATTTTACAAGCCATCTAATTAAGCTTTGAGGTGACCCCAGAAACTGCCGACGGTCATATATACCCGATATAAAATTAATAAAGATATAATTAGATAGCGAACTTGTGCAATTGGATTTTTCTTAGTCTGTTTGAATTCACATTATTGGTCAAAAAAATATGTTAATCATCATTTTCACCTGTATAAGAATGAGTTTTAGTGGATCAACCACATGGTTTACCCTTGTTTCACTTTCAATGTTGACATTCTTTTCCTTTCGATAGCTCGATACGGCTTATTCATGCGTAACCCATCGCTAGCTAACGGATTAAATTGAAGGTCACATGAATACGGTTTCCATGAGGTCGAATTTTTCACTTGCAAGTGAATAATTCATCAACGATGTTTCGTATCTTATTTTGACAAAATTGAACCAAACTGGCTGCTAAAAGCGAATAATTAATTCAATATTTTACCTCATTATTGAACAAAAAAAAAAAAATATTTTATTATTGTTTATATCTCGTAGCTAATGCCCTTTTAATACGGAAATAATATAGGGTCCCTACATACAGGTATTGAAAAACTCATAATCGCTTACTGGAATTTTAAAATCATTTATCCTGATTGATGATTTAAGAAAAAAAATAAACATTCTGTTGTATAATCCATATAATATTATAAAGGGATATATGTCGCTGGTTATGACAGTTTTTATAAATGTAAATTGCAATTTTACATACAGTAACCCCTTTCACCGAAGACATCAATGGCGAGATATAAACTAATTATAATCTGAAAGACAAATACTAGCTTCACGTCTGATAGAATTTTCGTTTTTAAATAAAATGTTCCTTTTACTCAACTGAATAAATAATCAAAATGTGCAAAGTATTGTAAAATTGTAGTTTGTGCTATCTTATATGCATTTACAATTCAAATGCTAGTTAGTTATGGTGCATTATGATGTTACAGCCTCAAATTACAAACATGAAGCTGTTTTACTGTACTTTATGAAAGATTGAAAGACATCTAAAATGACAATTATGTGAAAAGACAAAAAAGTTGTTGCAAAGTTGGCGTATAATCTGACTCAATAGATGACATGAATGATGAATGAAAAGAGATATGAGAAAAACGATATTGAGGCCAACGACAAATAACTTCGAAGAGGCAAGATGCAAATTTCAACAAAACACAAATGTCGATGCACTATCTAAATACTTTAATTATCCCATGTCTACGAAAGTTGCCAAGAAATAAACAGAAACATAAAACATCAACATTAAAAAAGAGGCGAAAGATACGAAATGGACATTTAAACTCATAAGTCAAAAACAAACTGACAACGCCATGGCAAAAACGAAAAACGACCAAAATACAAACACCAGTATAATAAGGACAAACACAACACAGAAAACTAAATACTGAGCAACACGAACCCAACAAAACAGGACCCCAAATAATGATATGAACAAAAAAATCAAATTAAAAAAAAACAGTGCTACGAAGCGGAGTTAAACAAGTTTCGTAGCGCGAAACCTCTCCCTAACCCGGAAACAGCAACATTTAAACAACAGCAGAACAGAAGAACACACTGTAATATCTGTTGGAAAGATCTTCACTCAAAAAGTACAAATATAAGAGTACTATCAGCTCCTGCAACTAGTTCAAAATGTTTTCTAATCATATTTCCACATGAAATTCATAATATCAGCAAACATTGAGTAGATGTCGAACATACCCGAAATAAACAAGCAAATTAATTCTCAATTATTTTTTAGGTGAAAAATATGTAATAACTGGAAGTCTCCGAAATTTTGATTGTTCGAAAAAACGATATCAGCCTTTCTCGTTATGGTCTAATGTTAGTGGAGAGTGTTTATATCAAAAGTCGCTATGTAAAGAAGACGGTCAAGTGGTCTTTGATAATGGTTCGTCGACTATAGATCGAAAATGTCGTTGCGATTTTACTAAAGGATATAAATTTGTCAAGCGACCAGAACATATTTGTTTTTGTATACCATCAGAAGAAGATTGTTCTTGTAACATCATTAAATGTGATGTTGATAGAATTTTATCATCAGGTATGTTATACAGATATTTGTTACTGATGAATTAGTTTTCATTTCACAATAGAATTTACGTCACATTGTATGAGAAAATATCTCTCTTTTCCTGCAGAATATTGCTATTTTGTAATGTGGCTTGGAAAGTTGAACATGGAATAGTTATCACTCGTCATTTTCATTGTAGGCCTTAATATAAATGACAGAAAAAGTTTAAACTGTTTGATGTACTCTTAACTATTACTAGATTCTAGGTACTGACGTTGTTTATCATCTTAATTATGTGTTGTAGTGTTCTTTTATTTGTCTTTGTAAGTTATTAGTCTGTACTGTTTAGTCCAGTTTTGGTAATATCCTTTCGGCGTGGCTTGGTACTTATACATCCCGCCATTGTGTTATTGTGCTATTGTCAATTTTTGTATTCTTGTCTTTCATTTTTGCTTATGTGCTTTGTCTATATGCCATGTTGTTTTTCTTTGTTGACATATTTGTTTGTTTTCATAGTGATTATGATAATATCACAATATTAACTGCTGAATCCCTATTTTTGAATTTTGTACCTATCATTATATCGGTTTGTTTTGTTCACACAATATTGTCAATATAATGGAATTTTATGCGACTGCCATACAGGTGAAAGGTTTAAGTAGCTCTAAAACCAGGTTTAATCCACTAATTTCTACATACGGAAATGCCTGTACCAAGTCAGGAATATGACAGTTGTTTTCCATTCGTTTGATGAGCTCGAGCTTTTGATTTTTGACAGTTGCTAAGGGAATTTCCGTTTTGAATTTTCATTGAAGTTCTGTATTTTTGTTATTTTACTTTTTTCTTCAGCAAGGCAATGAGGAATATCGATTTCAATTATACATTCCTACTCCTATGTACAATTGCTGTCGTTCGTTGGTTGTTTAAAAGTCCCCATCACTCAGTTAACTGTTTACAGGCATCTGACTCGGGACAGGCACATAAAAAATATGACAGGATCAAACATGTTTGTGTGTTCTCAACCCTCCCCTAAACTGGGTAAGTATCTTATTTGTGGTGAGTTTTGATTTTAATGATTTTGGATGAATAAATAAGATAACAGAGTCATCTTATTTCATGAAATCTTGTTACAATTAGTTTATTGAAAATACAAGCCTCTCAAGGCAGTCGAGGAACGCCGTTGTAATTTTTCGTTGTTGGCATGGAAGATTGTTAGCAGACGATATCTTATTCTTCACATGTTTCTTTGCAGTCTTAGGTTAAGTGGAGGGTTGAGCGCTCACAAACATGTTTAACTCCGCCACATTCTTTATGTACCTGTTCCAAGTCAGGGGCCTGTAGTTCAGTGGTTGTCGTTGGGTCATGTCTGTCATATTTGTTTTCGTAAATTGTTTTGTTATAAACTAGACCGTTAGTTTTCTCAATTGAATTGTCTCATTTTTTTCATGTCGGGGCCTTTTGTAGCCGACTATACGGTTTCGATTTTTCTCATTGTTGAAGGCCTTACGATTGCCTATAATTGCATTAGTAGCAAGATTTCAGTTTGAAACGGTCATTTTTGGTCTGATCAAGTCTTAATCGACTGAATTTACCACAAAAGAAAAACGTTAAGACTTTTTCAGACGTTCAGACGTTGTTCGTATCTATAGTAGTCAGTCAGTTCAGTCATGTCAAGGCAAACACGATATATTGTTCTAGCGTTCGAAGTCCAATAAAACCAAATTATCTCAGAATAGAACCATTTAATTGTAAGGATACTCATTATTCAAATATAGAAAAAGAGGCCTGGGGCATTCAACATTGCAACCCAAATTCAATGAAGAGCCAAGATCTTCATCGACAACAAAAAAAAATATGTAAAGCTTTTCATTTTATGGATCACTTTAAAAAAAATGTGAGATACCGTTGGAAATAAATTTTTTGTGTTCTGATATGTTTAAATTTTACTACAGTTCACTCCCTGCACCTTTCGATGCCTATTATGAAGGGAAACATTCATAATGTATATACAAGGCAATTCTGAATGAATGAAACTACAAAGCGAAAACATTTTCTACTTTCATCAGCTATGAGACGGCTAGCGTTTTAGAAAAGCTTTCTGTATTATTAAGACATGAAAACATATTTGACGATTAAGCAATAACACACCATTAAAGACAACGACCCATCCTAGATCCTAGATTCATAATATAGTTTCACACAGTTGTATGACAATCATGATTAGGTCCAAGATTCACTTGTAATTGTCGCGATGGTCAGATACAGCTTTAGATTTCTAATATGTCGATATAAAAAAGAAGATGTGGTATGATTGCCAATGAGACAACTCTTCACAATAGTCCAAATGACACAGAAAATTAACTTCTATAGGTCACCGTACGGCCTTCAACAATGAGCAAATCCCATACCGCATAGTCAGCTATTAAATGTCAAATGTAAAACAATTCAAACGAGAAAAATGACGGCCTAATTTATGTACAAAAAAATGAACGAAAAACCAAATATGTAACACAGCAACAAACGACAACCACTGAATTACAGGCTCCTGACTTGGGACAGGCACATACATACAGAATGTGGCGGGGTTAAATATGTTAGCGGTGGCCCAACCCTCCCCCTAACCTGGGACAGTGGTGTAACAGTACAACATAAGAACGAACTATAAAAGTCAGTTGAAAAAAGGCTTAACTCATCAGATGGATACAAATAAAATTATTTCTAACAAACACACAGAGTGGACGTGGCGGGGTACTTGTACATCCCAACAACAAAAGTACACTAAGTACAGATATGAGAGTACTCGCAGTTACTGACAGCTAGTTCAAAGCCAATAACAACTAATAATAAAAAATCATGCATCTAAGACTAAGTATATACAAAATTAATAAAATGACTACTGAAAGAGTATAAAGCAATGTTCACCTTTCAAGACAATTTTGTTTATAATATGATATTTTGTTGTAAGTCTATAGTCATGAAGTCATGAAGTGTGTTAATTGTATATTGTAAGTCAGCACCTATTTTTCTCCTTATTTAAAAAATAATCTCCAATATTATATGTAACTTAACTTAACTTTACTTTCAATTTCAATTAAGACAACTGTAATACATGCTTATGTCAAGTTAAGAAAAAACTTTATTTCCTAACACCCTCCCTTCTTTGTTTTTGTTACATTCTTACCCTGGGTAACCAACCATACAATATTATAATTGTATGTTCAGTGAATATTCTTTCGTATAGGACTCATTCTGTTAACAGTTTTGATTAACGCATCTTTTACAGAAACTTGTGCCATTTATTTGACTTTGCCAACAAAAAAATAAAATTCACAAATCCGTTATTTTTGGATGTTTCGGGGGGGAGGGGGGGGGGGGGGGGGGGGGATAAATCCTACTTTGTAAAAAATCACTCTGATTCAAACAAAAAATTCACTGAAACTGACATTATCAAGATGCTTGATTTCTTGATTGACAACACATTTGTTACGTTTGGAGGACGTGTTTTTCAACAAACTATCGGCATTCCTATGGGAAACAACTGTGCCCCTCTTCTTGCTGATTTGTTCCTTTATTCTTATGAGGCTGACTTCATACAGGAACTTATTAGGAAGACAGAAAAGAAGTTAGCAATATCCTTTAACTTTACTTTCCGCTATACAGATGATGTTCTCTCACTAAATAATTCAAAATTTGGTGACTATGTTGAACGCATCTATCCCATCGAACTAGAGATAAAGGATACAAACGATACAGTTAAGTCTGTCTCATATTTTGACTTACATCTAGAAAGTGACAATAAGGGTCGGTTGAAAACAAAACTTTACGACAAAAGAGATGATTTCAGATTCCCAATTGTGAACTTTCCATTTCTATGTAGCAACATTCCAGCAGCGCCTGCATAAGGAGTATATATCTCCCAATTGATAAGATATTCCCTGGCTTGTATTTCCTATCATAGAGGGTTGCTGCTCACAAGGAAGCTATTAAACCAAAAGTTCCAAATGTTGAAGTTGAAATCATCCCTTCGTTAATTTTACGGACGCCATCACGAGTTGGTTGACCGTTATGGAATATCCGTTTCACAGATGATATCGGATATGTTCCTAATGTCGTAACTACAATCCCGTTCCCTTTTCACGAATGTGACCTACCGAATAAGACTATTTGCCGGGTTTGTAATAACATGAGCAACACGACCGGTGCCACATGTGGAGCAGGATCTGCTTACCCTTCCGGAGCACCTGAGATCACCCCCAGTTTTTGGTGGGGTTCGTGTTGCTTAGTCTTTAGTTTTCTATGTTATGTCTTGTGTACTATTGTTTGTCTGTTTGTCTTTTTCTATTTTAGCCATGACGTTGTCAGTTTATTTTCGATCTATGAGTTTGAATGTCCCTCTGGTATCTTTCGCCCCTCTTTTTTAAAGGGTTAAAGAACAAATATCGATTTGCATGGTTGTTAAGTTTCATGTTGTTGGTAAACAAATTTTATCCAGGCGGTACAGACACCCGCTGTTACTCTTTTTCTGTGTGTAAATATTTACGTTATATTTTGTTAATAAAGATAGGTACCGATACAATTGTGTGGTTCCGAAATTAGTTTTTTGAATACATATAGCATGTGTCTTGACATTATGTTGGTGAAACGGGGAAATTGCAGAAAGCTTATTTGTGGTAATGCTCGATTATTTTTATTTTCTTTTCGATATATGACAATAGCGTAAAAAAGTAACAAACAATTTGTTGTTGACGCTGTTGACTTTTCTGGGTTATGTTCAAACGTCCAGTTTTTCACCTACTAGTATACAACTGAAATACAATTAATCGACATATGTATCAAATTGGTACCCTCCCTCCCTCCCTCCGTCCGTCCGTCCGTCCCGTCCCGTCCCGTCCCGTCCCGTCCCGTCCCATCCATCCATCCATCAATTACCATTCCATCCCATCCCATCCCATCCCATCCCATCCCTCCAGACAGACAGACAGACAGGTCTTAGAGTTTATATTCCCTTAGCCGGGGATGTCACATTTTAT